GGGATAATTATAGCACCTACCTCACAGTGTTGCTGTGAGGATCAGATGTTGTAAAGCCTGTGCAAATCTTAAAGCCTTACGTAAATGCTAGTGATTAAGTGAAATAGACTGGCTCAGGAGACAGTCTTCACAGGCTGAAACCACTGGTCAAGAATGTCATGGTTGGGCACTCTTTGAGAGCTGATTGGGATTAACTGGCCGAAATTATATATTTCTCTGACAAGCTGAGTATCTAGTATGAAGTGCAGGTGAACTAGAAGAAAGAGGCAGTTCTTGTTTTAAGGGTTCCAATTCAGTTGAAGATACCATAAAACCAGATGACTGGTTATATTTTACTGAGAAAGTTGAAGCTCTTTGTTTCTTCTCATCTCCCATCAGCCAGGTGTATTCTGCTATTCTGCCAATATCTTATTCAACCTGTCTCACATGAAGAGCTTCCCCTCTCCTTGGCAAACTCCCCTCCATGAATGAGTGATGCCATTCCATCCCATTATCTCCAGATTTCCCCCCTCCATCATCTGCACCCTATCTCCTTGTCTACTGACTGCTTCCCTATAGACTACAGAGCACTCCTGTGAGTGAAAACCTTTGAGGTTTTCATCAAAAACCTCACTTCATTCATCCATCCTTACTACTAGTTCTTGTCTCCTATCTCTTCTTTTGTAGCTAAACTCTTTGAGAATGCTATCTAGGATATGTATTTCCACTTCCTTTCTTCTCAATTCTATAGTCTGGATTCCAACTGAAGCACTCTCCCTAAAGTTACTAATGATCTCTTAATTGCCATATCTAATGGTCTTTTCCAAATGGTCATCCTTCTTGAGTTCTCTGCAGCCTCTGATGCTGACAATCACCTTCTCCAGCCCTCTTTTCTTTATTTCACTTGGTGATCTCATCATCTGATGATTGGCTCCCAAGTTTTCATTTATCTCTATGCTCATGATCTACTTAGCAGCTTACCTCTCTCTTAACCTCAGAATGCATTTCCAACTGCCTATAAGATATGTCCAACTTGATGTCCTGTAGACATCTTAAATATGACCAAAACTGAACTCGTCTAATACATATTTGGAAACGCATTCTGAGAGACTCATGACTGAGAGAATGGTGGTACTGCCCTCAATGGTAATAGGGAAGGCTGGACAGTGGGAGGGTTTTGGGGAAAAGATGAGTTCAGTTTTGGACATGCTTAAGATGTCAGCACATAAAAGTTGGACATACAGCAGCACCACCATTTTCCCAGTCATCCAGGCTTTCAGCCTAAGTCTCATCTTTGATACCTCTCTATCCAACCTGTTGCCAAATACTGTCAATTTTACCTTTATAACATCTGCTTCTCTCTTATACTGCTACCATGCTGGTGCAGGTCCCCACCACCTCACAACTGGACTGTTCCAACTACTGGTTGGTCTCCCTGTCACAAGTCTCTCACTCTAGTCCATCAAATTAATCTTGCTGTTCCTCAAACAAGACACCCCATCCCCAAACTCCAGGCATTTTCACTGGCTGTTCCTCATGCCTGGGATGCTTTCTTTCCTTGTCTTAGGTCCCAGCTTCGAAGTTTCAAGTCCCAGATAAAATTCCCTCTTCCATGAGAAGCCTTTCCTGATCCTCCTGAATATTAATGCCTTCCATTATTCAGTTTATTGTATGTGTATGTGTATATAAAGTGCTTATTTGCACTTAAGAGTCAGTTCTGCTATAATTTGATACCTGCATTCTCAAAAAGCAAATGCGTAAAAACCGCAGGATTTACGAGGGAAATGGGGTTAAGGCACAACACCCAAAAATTTTGTCAGTGACACATAAGAAAAAGGAACATAATAAATGGTAGCACAATTTTACATATGTTAAATGGCCAAGAAATACCTAAATAGCATTGGGTAGGCTGTAACTCTGAAGGGGGAATAGGGAGTGTCACCAGGCATTCAGCAACCCCTGCACCAGAGATACATAATAAACTTGGCATTTTACCTTAAAAAGATAAGAAGTTTGCTTGTGGAAATAGATGCTGGAAGGGTTGAAACTCATGAGTTATTGTGAAGTGGCAGTTTTCTGTATTCTCTCTATACACACATAATATGTATTATATATGCATATTGATCTATAATTAAGAATAGAGATTAGGGGGACTTGCCAATATTAGGTTTCAGCAGACTACTTAGTCATATTATCTGTTGGAAAATTCCTTTTTCTGACATAGCTACATGCTTTCTAGGATGCAGTGGTTTTCTTCTCATCCTTTCTCTTCATCCAGCTAGCCACTGGCCCAGTTGCTCTTCATAGGGCCCATACACCCCTCCTCTGAAACATTTTGTATCTCTTCTATAAGACAGTCATAAGGAAAACACCAAAAGTAGATCCACCTTGGCTGGAAAACTTTTTAGCCTAAAAAAAAAAAGTTTATGTTCCTGGAAGTAAATTAGTATGCTTCTCATTTCGGATTACAACTAATGGTTTATTTTACCGAGTCATCTCAGAATGTCAAAGTGACATAATCTACCCCCCCCAAAAAAAACAACAACAAAAAAGCACCTACCAGGTACAAAAACTAAGACTAGTATTTTTTTTTTTTAGCAAGACTAGTATTTTTGAGATGATATTTGCATTATTATTTAGATACATGAAGGCAGCACTTGGTATTTAATGAAGTTGAAAACAAAATTAACATTAAGTATAATCTATGTATTCTTCCCCACCCAGATGACTGGTTAGTGACTCACATCACATCCACATGTGTTTGCCTACCTTTTGAAGCCCTCTAAGATGTAGTTCTAACTGCTTATGCAACCTTATATCCTTGTTCTGCCCCTTATAGGCTAGACCCTCCAATCCAGGTAACAGAAATATAATCTTTCATCTCCAAATCTTTCTTGGTTCCAGCTGGAATATTCTCAATCCTCTCTACCTGTCTTTGTAATGTTCAGTTCAGCCTACTCCTCCAAGCCTTCTCTGTATACTACAAAACTGATCTCTCCCTCAGGATTATAGATTTAGTGCACAAAGGGACCTTTGGGGTCATCCGGCCATTAATTTGACAGATAAGGAAACTGAAATCTACAAACATTTAAGTGACGTACCTAAGGTTACACAGCTAATAAATGGCAGAACTAAAATACTTTGAGCCCTTTTTATATCTAGTAAGGATCTTATAGCATTGTTTCCTCTCTCCAACTATATTAGAAACTGTCATACATATTAATATTTACATATGTATCAGTCCTGCAATCCCTCAGTGCCCAACATAGAATGTGACATAACTGTAGTAGGCATTTTATTCACCAAATAAGCTATATTAAGCACTTACTATGTGACAGGCATTATGTGCTAATGATATACAAAGACAAAATAGTTTCTGTTCTCAAGGAGTTTTATATATTGGAGGGAAACAACATACAGAAAAATAAATTCTAGATATATGCAAAGTAATTTCCAGGAGAAGAGCACTAACTACTGTATGCAAACAGAAAAAGTACCTTTTGAGCTAAGCCTTGTCTGAAGGTAAGGATTCTAAAAGGCAGAGGTGAGGAAGGACCCCAGTCCAGAGGATCAGTGCCTGTATAAAGGAATGGCAATAGCAGATAGAATGTTGTGTACAGAGAATAGGCAGTAGGCCAATTTGGCTCAGTAAAACCTTGTTAATTGATGTGCCTTAGTGGTAAGGTATCTAACCCAACCTGATATGCCAGGCAGCAGAATAACTGCCTTTGCTATCATATCCTGGCAGACCAACTTTCAGGCAAATTGGGTACATATAGGTGAAAGATATGAAGAGGTGACCAGACAATCCTAACACAGGCCAAGGTGTCTTTCTTACATTGTCCACTAAGTTGTAAACTGTCTTCCTTCCACTTTCTCCTTGTATCAGTAATTAAAAATTGGTAGCCTTCAAGGAAGTTTTAAGTGACAAGCTGACAAAAAGTTTTTGGTTAATTAAAAAGGGAATTCTATATGACTTTTACTGAGAAGCTGGTCTTAGATTTAAGTAAACCAAAACTGTATTTATGAAGGGGTAGCTTTACAATTTCCTAATTTGTCCACATGCAACAAACATTTCAGTGCAGTCAGATACAAATTCCAATTGGTAGTAGCCTGCCATCTATCTCTAGGTAAGACAGAAGAAAATCTAAGGCCCGTGAACTATTTCAACATTTTGATAACTATTTCAATGCAAATGGTTTTCTTCAAAATCCTATGTATTTTATGTATTTAAAAACATTTAAGAATAAAGGTTGATAACCCCTGCCCTAGGGTCAGCTAGGTGGCATAGCAGATAGGATGCTAAGGAAAACCCAAGATCACATCTTGCCTCATAGCCTTATTGGTTGGACATGTCATTTAACCTAACTCAACCTGAGTTAACTCATCTGTAAACCCTCACAAGGTTGTTGTGAGGATACAGTGAGATGCTTGTTTGCTTTGCAAACCTTTAAGTGCTATATAAAATGTTAGTCTTACTAAGGCACACCCCTTCACCTGCACAAGCGACCCCACTCCATCCTTGTTTTCCAACTGATTGACTCCTCCAGTCTTACATGTTGCTGCCACATACTGTTCAATCTAGTGCCCTTCTGGCTGTTATTCCAATGAGATACTCATCTCAAAGCTCCAGGAACTTTCTCTGGCTGTCTCTCAAACCTGGAATGCTCTCCCTCATCTCTGCCTACTGGCTTCCCTCAAGTCCCCATTGAAATCTAATCTTACACAGAAAATCTTTTCCAAACTCTCAATTTCAGTTCCTTTCCCTTTTAATTATTTCCTATTTTTCCTGTATATGGCTTCTTGTACATTTTGGTTTGCTTGTCTTTCCCGTTCAATTGTGAACTCCTTGAGGGTAGGGGCTTTTTGGCCTCTTTTTGTATCCCCAGCACTTAGCACAGTTCCTGGCACAAAGTAGGGGATAATAAATGTTTACTGACTTATTATATTCCAAATAAATTTATAGGTTTTGTCCTCATTGCAGATAGAAAACAGTTGGTCAAATTTTTTTGTATACCAACCTGTTTATTATAGCAGGACATGAGATAAAGTCATAGCTCATAAGTCATCTGATCTTTCTTCTGTGGAGACTCTGGATCTGCTTAAATCAGATTGTAGATTGTGGCTAATTTAAAGCAAGGCTAATAATCTGTAATTCAGTAGCACTATTTTCAGCATACATGTGGTATTTTTAAAGATTTTAAACAAACAAATAGAAAATAACAGGGGTCCCAATAATAGGTTGTATTGAATTCTATTTATAATGCCTAGCTGTTTATTTAATATTTAACATTTCCCTGGTCTCTTTAGTAACTACAACCTTATGAAGAAAAAATGTGGTTATTTTATGAGAAGAGTTTATTAATATTTTTAAGTGAAAAGTGACCTAAATCATCCTTAGACATGACCAAATCATGCTATGCAGCAATTTACTGCATATAGCAAGTAACATATAGTAGAAGGGCAAAAAAAACAACAAAAAACCCAACCTTATTTCTACATGTAAATTACAATTTGACTATATTATTTTGCCAGAATAAAGACACTCTAGTGATATTCATAAGTCCCATCCACACAATCTATTGCAAAGCATCCATACTGGGCCACTTGCCACTCCTCCCATAAAAGTCTCTCTCCATGCCTTTTGCACTGGCTGTCCACCAAATTCTGGAATTGTATCCCTCTTCACTTCTGACTGCTGGAATCCCTGGTTTCCTTCAAGACTCATGAGGCTCATGCATCACTTACTGCAGGAAGGCTTTCCTGGTCCCCTTGCGTGATCCCCAATGCCTTCTCCAAACTGACCTCATATCTGAATTGTATACATACATGTTTGTCATATAAGAATGTAAATTTCTTGGGAGCAGGAACCCTTTCACAATTTTGTGTCCAAGTGGATAGGACAGTATGTGGAACTTAGCAGGTGTTTAATAAATGCTGGTTGATGGAATGAACTATGAAATCTGCCTCTTTTTGATTGTGGGGAGGGGGGAGTTTGAGGAAACAGTCCTGATGCATGAAAATAGAGCATAACTCTGGAACTGGGAAAAAACTTAAAATATTCTGAAATTATGTATAAAGGAAATGATTTTTAAATTAAATCACATATTATTTAAGTATATCTGAGATAATGCCCTGGCAGAAGGGGGTGATTTGTATAAACATAAGTATAAAAAGTAGTTAAAAAGGTAATTATTTCTTACTACTATACTATCATCTGCTTTTCAGCTCTGCGTTTCAGAAACTTGATTTTAACAGTGGTGATCACAGAGCCAGGAACCGAATCACAATGACAGACATCTTGTAGGATAAATGGTACCAGTTTATTTGCACAAAGTTTTCCTGGTATATATATTAAAGCAAATTACAGATCAGAAATAAGCAGGTTAACTGTTGACTCAGTCAAGGTCATACGGTGTCCACTACAAAACTGGAACTGGAATTTCAAATTTCAAAATCACCATGTTACCAAGTTACTGAGCTTTCGAAGTATACAAGCTTCCATCAAGAATGCCACATTTTAAATAATATTTAAAATTCTGAGCACATAAAATCTGGTCAAACATTAAAAATAAAAGTACCAATTATATATTAGGGATTTCATTTTTAAGCTTAATATAAAATAAAAATAACTGACCTTATTCTTAGTCAAATTTTGATTAAAATGTACAAAACATGCTCTTTCAGTATCATGTACTTTAAAGTACTAAGGATATTTCTAATATCAGTATTCTAATATCTGTTTTCCTGACTACTCCTCAACCAAATAAAAAACAAGGAAATCTCCATTTTAAAAAATCTACAGATAACAACACTGGATAATGGTCATGAATGACCATAGCAGATTACTCTTAAGATTCAGCATGACCATTGTGATAATAACCTAATGCAATTAGTATTGCCCCACATAGAGAGAGAGAGAGAGAGAGAGAGAGAGAGAGAGAGAGAGAGAGAGAGAGAGAGAGAGAGAGAGAGTCTGTACTTAGACGTCTCCTTTCAAAAAAATTACTCAATTTTGACAAAGGAAAAGCATGCTTACTATACTCAGAACTTGCTATTTCCTCAGTTTGTCTCAGAGTCTAATTATCTTTCCAATGTAGTACTACTAACAGTCCCTACAATATGTCTTGGACAATTTCCATAAAATGTAACCTTCCCAGATAATTCCTGTGGCTGTATGTGAATCAAAATCACCATGTTACCAACTTCTAATTCATTCAACAAATATAAAAAATACGGATTCTTTTGGCTTTTAAAGCCCTTCACCTCTGGTTCCAGCCTTTTGTCTGCCCTATTCTGATCCGCCCTACTTGTTCTGCAGAATTTTCGATCTCCACCACCCCGTTCGAGCAGCTCATCATACATACTTGCCAGTGTTCTCCCTTATTTACTTGCCACTTGGAACTCCTAAATAAAGTGCCACTTTCTACAAGATCACTTTCTTAATTCCTACTTATTAGTGCCTGCCTCCAAGATTGTATCTTCTCTCTACAGTGGAGGGTTGTTTTTGAGTTATCAGTGCTTTGCACATAGTTGATATTTCCTAAACTCTGGATGGATTAAATATAATTTTATTATGGCAGGTAGATACTGCACGTAGTTTTGTGTGGTTATTGAGAGCTGGCCTTCAAACTAGTAAAATTTGGTTCGAGGTTTTGTTTGTGAAACATTTCACTGGCTGTGTGACCCTAATCTTGTCATTTTAGGCCTAGTGGTGTCAAACTCAAATAGAAATGGGGTCCACTAAAATAGAAGACCCCTATCTTTATATATTGACTTAGAAAAAACACATGTTAATATTATCTATGTTCTACTGTATTTTTATTTTAAATGGACCACACTGTTGCTGATCTGCAGTGGTGGAGGGAGTTTTCTCACGGGGAAGGAAAAAGATCCAGCTTTATCCCAAGTGAAATCACCTGCCCGGTCCCTATCGCTATGTGAGCACAATGTCACAGCAGCAGATACACTAATAAAGAAACTGTAACGACTCATTTCTCCTTTCCTAACACCCCAACTTCTGTAAAAACAATGCTCCATGTGCCTGTGGCGAGGCAGCGTGCCCATCATGCAGTTTTCACCGTTTTGATTAGAATATCATTCAGGTCGGTCTTAACTCTTGCCAAACAACTGTGATTCGAGTGTCTTAAAATGGAGAGAAAAATTGAGCCAAAGAATGGCTAGAACCCTGTGAGCTCATGCAGAGTAGCACCATGACCTAGCTTCTCGCGTGCTCCCGGCGGCCGGCCGACCCCTGACCCCAGGCGTTTCACTTTCCCCTGCAATGCTGCCGCCCTTCCCCCCACCTTGGCCGTGAGGCTCCAAGCATGGGCCTGGGGACCATCGAAGCGACAGCTGGTGTGGGCTCAGGAGGCCCAGGGCCGGCGCTTGGGCTCCCCCTTCCGCTCGGTCCGCCCTTCCCGTTACCTTCCCCTTCCCGGGTTCCCCGGCCTCGGTCTCAGTTCCCATGATGACGAGCTCGTGCCGCACGCCCTTCACTCACTGCCACCGAGACGAACGGGAAGTGGTGCCTAGAGCGGACGCTCTCGCGCTCCCCCGCGAGCTCACTCTCTGGGTCCGCCCCGGCTCGCCCTTTCCTGCCCCCCCGCCTCCCTCCGCCCCTGCCAACACCACGTCCGCCATTTTGGAAGCTGCACTATCACACTGAAGTGCTCCTCGAAGTAGCCGTCTTGGCGACAGACAACTCCTTTGTTCGTTGAAATGGGCTACACCATCTCTTAGGGCGCTCCCTAAGTCCGCCTCCCCTCTCTACACGACGGGGCCGGCGGAAGAGTGGATATAGGTCCTGAAGCTACCGCGCCACTAGCGTCCCGAGGGAGGCAGGCGGAGGAGAAGCCGCACAGGCTACCACAGTTCCCTCTCTTTCCTCCCCAACAGTCGTGCGCTCGTGCGCGCGTATGCGCGTGCCAGAGGAATGTGGGGGTGGTTAGAGGGAGCGCGCGCGCGGGGCGGGAAAAGCGGCGAGCAGGGCCAGGGATAGTTGGAACGGGGGAGGGACGAGATAATGGCGCATTGTCCTCTGCGGCCCGATCTGCGTCTTCTCTGTCCGTTGCAGCCAGGGACGGTTTACAGCCCCCCCGTTACGTCACCAGCCGCCTGGGGTTTTCTGGGGCCACCTTGAGAAGCCCTCCTCGGGCCTCCTTTGCCCCCAACGCCTCCTCCCTCGCTGCTCCCCCGGGGCGGATTAAACCCCAAACGGCGGAGAAACCTTTCCCCTCAAAGCCCCATAGACTCCCCGCCTTCCCCCAGCTTCTCGGGCACCAAAAAAAGAAAAAATCCAAAAGCTCCAGTGTCCCTCTAGGCGAGGGCACCCGTGAAGGAGACTTGGGGGACAAAATGGAGGCCGGTGCCTTGTGGGCGAAGATGCGTCAGGGCCTGTGCCGGCTGGGCCGGGGAAGCGGGTGCTCAGCACACGGCGGAGCCGGGCCTGGCCCGACGGAGGAGGGGGGAGGCCATTGTTGCAAGACGGCCGTGGACGTGTAGAGCCCCGGCCCCTAATTCTGTGATCTAATCGTTACTGACTAGAGATAAAGGGCCCCGTAAATTTTGCCGAAGAGGGTTGTAGAGCCCCGGTTCTGTCGCCAACATTGGCTTTCAGAAACAGGGGCTGCAAAAACGGGCTTCTGTCCTTTGGCCGAATAACCTAATTAAATAAACAGACCTGAAGGTTTCTCTGGCACGTATGTATGGTTTGTGGCCCTGGCTGGCTGCTGTCTTATTTTCTAGATCTCAAATCTCCTAGCTGCAGGAAACTGCCATCATTTTAAGACTCTCTTGGAATTCTCTTCTTATTGATTATAAACCCCCCGTGGCCTTGTGCACACTCATTTTTAAGTAGACATTTTAGAAAAGTTTTGATGATTTTTTGTTTTTGTTTTTTACATGACAGACTTTTGCAGTTTAGTCCCTTTGGTGAGAAGAAACAAAGTAAAATCAAGAATACAGTAACCTCATCTGAAAATACGTGCAACATTCCATGTCTGTAGCAACCCCTCCTCTATTTGAAGAGATAGAGAGGAAATGTCTCCTACTTCACTGAAAATAAAAGAGAAACTTTTTTTTCTTGCACCAAGTATTTGTAGCCAAGCAAACAAATTCCCTCAGTGGCTGTACACAAAAACTTATTTGTCTCATTCTGCATCCAAAATCCATCACCTCTCTGTAATGGATCATCATTGGTCCTCTGGAATCATGAATGGTGATTATAATTTACAGTTTTTGAAATTATTTGTTTTTACAATGCAGGTATGCAGTTGTAGAAATTGTTCTAGTTATACTCACTTCATTAGTTTATGAAAACCCTCAAAATTGTTCATCTTTGTAATGATGTTATAGTATAAATTGTACTACTGGTTTTGCTTCACTGCATCAGATCATGTAATCTTTCTATGTCTTTAAAATCATCTTTTCCTAATTTCTTACAATGCAATAGTATTTCATCATATTCATATGCCATAGCTTATTCAGCCATTACTCCACTGATAGGCAGCCCCTCAGTTTAGAGATGTTATTTCATATTTGGATGTTGTTACGTATTACTCAGAGTGTCCAGGGGTGGGAAGCCTGTGGCCTAGAGGATACATGTGGCTTTCTAGGTCTTCAAGTGCAGCCCTTTGACTGAATTCAAACTTCACAGAACAAATCCTTTCAATAAAAGGATTTATTCTGTAAAACTTAGACTCAGTCTAAAGGCCAAACTAAGAACCTAGAACGCCACATGTGGCCTCGAGGCCAGGGGTTCCCCACCTCTGGTGTAGACTTTGTCCACATCTGAAATGAAGTTTATGCTAGTAAAGATTGGAAGAAACCAGTAGTGTGTAATTATGGCTGAATTTTTAGTGGGGGTTGCCAGTAATGTAATCTATTATTTATTTTGTACCAGCTTTTAGTGGGTTCTTTAAGTCTACTTGTTAGGTGCATTGGGTGGTTATGGAAAGGTGTTATACTA